TAGTTTCAACATGATTTGAATTCGTCATCATAACATTATTGCAGTGTTCGGAAATCTTTTCGGTACAACTTTAGTAGTCCCTATAGTAGAGATGGTAAGTCTGTGAAAAAATGTCAAGGGGAATTTGAAAATTTAAAATACTTATCTTATTAGGTTTATTTTATTTTTGATAATTAATAGTAAGATTAAAATTATTTTGTTATTTTTATATATTTCTAAATTTAATGTCACGTAGGGAAAAAAATAAAAGGTAAAAGTTATTAACTATTTTTTTGCTAGATGATACCGTTAGAGAGATGCATAGGTATGGTATTGTATGGTTTGAATCACGATTAAACTATAGGTACCATATAAATTTTTATAGGTGATAGTTTAATATTTTCGAATCTAAATAAATTTACCTATATAGTTAATTGATGTATAATTTTTCATAATATAATAAGTTCTCATTATAAATTTATATTTATGCATACTTAATATTTAACTTTATTTTTTTTATTATTCTAATTTTTTTTCTGATTATCACAAGACAATATACAATTGTATGGCAATAAGTAAATTTGACAAATTAATATTTAAAACACATGTGGCATGAATAGCGTGATGAGAAAATATCTTATTGATAATACCTCTTATAAACTAACATAGTTAATGCCTATACTCAATCAGGCCCGGATAGGCCAATTAAACATTCTAGAAAATCTCGAAGGGCCTCTAAAATTTTGGACTGGTATGATAAATTTGCCGCAATGCTTACGTAACGATTTTAATAACAGCTATATAATAGTATACACTCAACAAACGTGATAAGGTCATTATTATGTATTAATGTTAAAATTCGTCCAATATGGGATACTATAACCATCAATTACGGGAAACCAATTACGGGAAAATTTGTAAAATATTTCTTGAAGGGTTGAGACTATTTAATCCGGATCTGTACTCAATGCAACAGATTGGAATCTAAATAGTACAAAGTTTGGCAGTACCCCAGATCGAAATTCCTTATAAGAATTAGTTTATTAGAAGTTTGTATTTCCTATAACGAAGAAATTTTGATTAATTAACTATAAAAATAAAGAAAAGCATTTTTAATGCATATTTATTAAGTTTTATCGCATACGTCCAAACATATTAGAGGTATTTTAGGGCAAGAACATCCTTTTTTAAGGATAAGAATTTGTCGATCCATGTTATAATAGGTTATTAAGTGTCAAGGGCACATGAGTCATTACAACAATTACCATTGATACTTACTACATTGTCAAAGCATATAATTTTTGTATGTATTGACTATATAATTTGAGTTTAACATGTTATATACTAATATATAATTAAAAATATATTTGTCAAAACTATAAATAACTCATAACTTTTGTTTACAACTGAATAGTTTTCATGCCGACTTTGATGTCTTGATTTGGATTTAATGAAGACATTCAGGCGGATTAGGTGGAATTTTAATTAAAAACCGTCATCGAAAATAATATCGACTGAATCATGTATTATAATTATTATTAAAATTGTAAGTGGGCAATGTGTCAAAATAAAATATCACTGTTGTATAGTGTCTAACTGGAAGGCAATAATATTATATACTATTACGATAAGAAATATATTTTAATGTAATTACTCAATACCTTTATAGGAGGTATATTAGAACAAAATATAGCTTACACTTTGAATTTTAAATCGCTACTAGTTACTATTAAATTTATAAAAGCTACAATTGCATTTTTTTTAGTTTATTTTTATGTTATAAAATTAAAGACTTATGATTTATTGTATCGATGTTTATTAATACTTAGTACGGTTAGTTGGTGAATGGTGAATGTTTTTTAAAACAATTATTTTTCATTAACACTAGACCACATTCACTAAATTACTAATTAGTGTTATGACAAAATAAATGAATTATCTTCAAACGCAGTTAGTGAAAATCTATAATAGCTTTTGTGCGTGGTGTATACCTAAAACTATAATAATATGAGCATAATATGGTTGGTTGAAGATAATATTATTATTTGATCGATGGCTTTTTAGAACTATTATAAACAGCAATTCCTGCAATATAAGCTTTACTGTTTTGTAATTATATATTATAATGCACTTAATTATAAGATGATATGTTTTATATAATTAATTTTCATTGACACATCAATGTTGGCGTCAAAACTCAATCAGTTGTCGTTGTTTTTTAGGAGGTGAAAATTATGATTTGTTGAACATCAGATCAAGGACGCTGCTTAAACTTGGATTCAACGAAAACGCTCTTTTGGACGCTGTCCGTGTGGTTCAAATAAATCCAAAGTGGTCCAAAGTACGTTTTTATACGTTTTTTTTTTTTATGCGACACGTTAATGATTTGAATTTCATCAGGGACATTTCACTCGTGGCATGGCGTTGTTTTCTCTGAGGAGGTACCAAGAGGCGTTATTAGAGTTTTCGTTGAGCGCAGTGCTCGGCGAAAACCTGCAAAAACTCCAACCACAAATTAACGAGGTGCTGCAAAGGTTACTGACAATGTATTCCAATGAAGATCAAGATCTAAAGAGTTGGAATCCCATAACTCACAGTTACTTAAGATCGTACTTGAACACGTTTATCAACAGATCCAACGTATTCGACAACAGTTCAAACTCTTTAAAAGTATGTCGACGATCAATATTAATTCACTTCTAATATCAAATCATCGTGTTATTTTTTCGTTTTTAGAAATCTATTGCAAAAGAAAGTACATTCATAAAAAATCAACTCTGTAAAATCAGCTCGATAACTGAATTGGTCCAACATATTTTTGTTGAAGTAACGCAGACTAAACGTAAGTTTATTGTTATTTTTCCGTCATAACTCTTATATTATGTGTGTTATTTTAAGTAGGTACATTTATTATATTTCTGTCTTTGTATACATTTAAATAATTTTATCAAATTTGCTTATTTTGCTTTGGTATAGATTATACATTATCAGTTAATAAAATGTAACTTAAGTGACTGATTCTTAACCAAGTCGAATTACTTTAAATTTAATTTAAAGGTATAAACTTAATTCAAGGAATTAAGATAATTAGTTAATTTTCCATAGATATCACTTATCATTTACTGATTAATACAACTATTAGATATTCTAGGAGTTCGTGTTTTTATAAATATAATTGTATTTTAACAAATATTAGAGTAGGCACTATAAATAATTATGTAATATTGAACAATCTTATGCAAGGTTTTATTTCAAATTTGTTTAAATGATCTGACGAACGAGTAGATAACCCAACATTATTGTATGCAACTGGATGTTTCAGTATCATGCTGGTTATATACTTAAATTCGTCTATTTTGACCACAGGCATTTATTGGACGTGTGCCAAAAGCGTTTTCATTTATTGGTTGATTATTAAATTGAAGTTTTATTTTTATTATGCCTAAAATTATATCAATCGCCTCAATGCATTTTATCAACATTCAGACGATCAGACGATCAGACTGATAAGCATCGTTCTTATAATTTTTTCAAAAAATAATCACTAATAAATTGTATTGGTGTTAGCGTTAGCAAAACCTAGAATTTATAAAGTAATTATTAACACAAATTAACTTTTTTTTAAAGTACCTGTGATAGCCAATAATATCTCTATGATTTTTTATTTTTTTATTTCATCTAACTATATTTAAAATCTATAGCATTAATATTTTTTAAATATGAATTTTATTTTGATTATTTTATACCTCTTAGTTATTAGTTATATACTTTTACAATGCTTAAAATTATGGCTAATTAGTAATAATATAGTTTTATGTGTTAGAGATTTTTTTATTATTATGATTAAATTTATCAGTCGAAATTTGAAATTATTTTATCATATTCTGATATTTAAATTAAATTTAAGTATTTCTTATAAATTTGTGGTAGGGAAGGCAAGCGCCCTCTCCACCCACTCGTAAAAACATCTCTTTAATATAGTATAGACTTAGGCATGCAATATGTTTTGAAATAAAATAAATTACATAAATATTTGTCTTTACGGCATATACTTTATTGTATTCACAAATTATGTAACTAACTCTACGGACGGATGGTATTATTATTACATCCCACTATTATAAATAAGTAGGTATGGGTATAGGTTTATTCAATAGGCACTTTGAATACCATTAAGTATTATTAATATTTCATAAGTGTTATGGAATATTATTTTCATGAGATAATAATACGAACTTCAATTGTGTGAAACACAAAGACTATTTAGATATTGTGGTCACGCAATTTTGTGTACACAAATACTATAATGTATATTGTAATTAGTTGTGCTCGATGAATATCGACGAGACCCAAACAATAACAAATGTCGTTTCGGATTTGATTTTTCAGATTACACTTCAAGTGTCCTAATCAATAACACGCTAAATGTGGACCAGTCGTTGCTGGACGAATCAGATTTCAATTGCGTTCTGTGTTGTGGAATGTTGAGGAACCCAGTGACGACACCGTGTGGGCACACATACTGCTCAGATTGTCTAGAACACAATTTCGATTACAGTTTCCACTGTCCGTTGTGTCTGACGTCACTGCCACCCGTGAGTAAAAATATCATCATCATCTCGACATAATATATTATTATAATAGTACAGTAAAACTATAAATAATAATAATAAATATTATTATTTAAATAAAAAATAGTGGTAATAATACTATTGAAACCACATCGTCCGGTATACAGCCGTCAGAGTTAAATGTCAATTGTTATAAAATAATATCATTATAAGTACCTCCATCGACTGCTAACGTCAACTGCACTCGTTATTAGTTTACAACCTATATGGCTATATATACTTGGTGTACATACATTTAAAATATAATATCGCCGAGTTAAATCTGTAAAAAACACCACAAGTATAGCTTTTCTCAACATTTCGCAAGAGGCACAACACAAAATCGTTATTTCACGTGATCTTGATAATATGCTGCAGCACTTATATTTTATTGTATTTTTTTAATTGCATCCAAAAAATTAGTTTTAAAGAATATTATATTATTATTGATAATTGTCTTTAAATCGAACACCAACGATGCTGCAATACATTAAACATACTCGTGTGTTATGAAATATGTCTATATATATTAGTCACTTATCATATTACATTTGAAATATGAATTTTGCGTATCTATTATCTCCCATTATAGTCATTATTGGTTTTATTGTACTCGCATAATACTACTTATACTTATTATCAGAATGAGAAACGCGTACACTCACTTAAAACTGTTTTTAAACACCCTGCGTGTATATACAATATATATATAGTATATTGGTGAATATAAAATATCGTCCGATTATTGTTTGCAGAGCTTAGCGCTGAGCAACAAGAACATTTCGGCATTCGTCAACGAGCTGATCGTCTACAAGTATACCAAAAACGGTCCCATGCAGACAGTGAACTGGAAACCAGAAGCGGAACATGATAGCACGTACTTGCCGGTGTTCGTGTGCACGAATGCTTTCCCGTCCGTGTCATGTCCGCTGCACGTGTTCGAACCGAGGTACAGACTGATGATTAGGAGGTGCATAGAATCGGGTACGAGGAGATTCGCCATGATCAGCAACTGCTGTCCTCCCATGAAGTTCGTACACTCACGCACGTATACATAATAATAATAACGATAACGATATAATAATATTATCTATCAAGGCTCAGGACTTAATGCATTCGCATATATTTGTTCAGTGGAAAATCATAAATATATTACAAATCTGATTCGAATTTCTATACTGATATCTGGATTATAAATTTTTAACACATTTTAGTGCGTATTTTTTAATAAAATTAATTATACTGACCAATATTTTAGTCTCGCAGTGTTTTTTCACAGCGCGTGGAACGGAAAATTAGCTTCAACATTAATTATTGTGTACAGCTGGTAGAAAATTTTGTATACTTTTTCGGGTCAATAGAATTCCCATTACTTTTCTTTATATAATAATTAGAAAATTAGCACTTATTGAAATTTTAATCAAATACCTACCTGCATTTTCTAAGCAGATATAATGTTAAAATAATACCCATTTATCTACTTAACTGTTTTTTTCGACTCTTGTTATTGGATATTTTGAAGTTTTTGTGGATTAATTTTTGAGCTTTGACTATTGTATCATAAAAACGATTATGTGTTATTAAAATGGCTTATGGATACGTGCACAAAAAATAAGCGCCATTAATCATACACTTTGCAGCACACTGTAACGTAACGCTATACGTTTTTTTTTTACATTCATATATTCTGGTGCTACTTTGGGTTTTAATCTTCGCCTCGAATTTCAGGTTCGCCGAGTTTGGGACAGTATTAGAAATAAAAGATCGGATTATGATGGGTAATGGTTGCTCTATTCTGTCGACAATCGGAACAAGGCGATTCAAAGTGTTAGTCCGAAAAGAACACGATGGCTATGATATGGCCACTGTGCAATACATACAGGACGAAAAAGTTCCTCCAAAAAAATTACTAGGTCAGTATATTTCTTATGAAAAATATTATTATAATATTGTATAATACATTTGATATACATCGTGCGTATAATAATTGAACTGTTTTTAGTAAAAAAAAAACTCATCGGCGGCGCAGAATTCGCGCGTTATTGCGCGATCGTACGCGATATTATTGTGCATTAAATTAATGACCTCCTTAAATATTGATTGTATATATAGAATTATATAAACTTCACGATGATGTTCGGCAACGGGGATTAACGTGGTTCGACGGTTTTCGGCCCGAAATAAAATCGGAAATCCTGAGAACGGTTGGTTTTCCGCCGAGTATTGAACCAAAATGGGAAGAACTGTCCGACGGTCCAGCTTGGACGTGGTGGTTGTTATCGTTATTACCACTGGGTCAAAACGCTCATGTAAGTCCTAATATATTATTAATATTTAAAACTTATTAATAATATTACCTTGTGCCTATATGTATGAGCATCAAATGTTATATTATAATTAAGGGTTTAATTAAAACGGTGGCCACAGGAAATAAATTTATTTCTTACAATTCTCATTGGTTTTCGTTCTATTTTTTGATTTTGTCTGTTCATTTTTGGTAAAATTTGTTGAATTTTTAAGACCTCTAAAACCATCACGAATTTATGATGTAACTCTCTAAAAATATTAATTGGTAATCCTGCATATTATGAAATATTATCCTCAAACATAAAATAAATCACATTTTCGTTAAGTAAAAATACTGTATCAGCTACGGGCAGTGAATATTTATTCCGCAGTGATGATTTATAGTCTGTACGCATATGGTGTACGATTTATATTTATAAATTATATTAAAGCCCAACTCGCAGGTGTTTTTTTAGTTAAATTATTATCATAATTTATAATATTTTTGCTTGATAAAATAACAATACAGTATTTAATATGGAAAATGGAATGACATAACAACTTAAATTCGTTGACTGAGTATTATGCATCCATTTTTTATATTATTACTATACCTATTGACTATTGAGTATTGGCTTACATAATCTATAAACAATTATTATTTATGATTAATATTAGTACAACATGAATAGTTATAGTAACCTAATTGAAAATAAATACAATGTATATTATAATACAAAAATATTTTGTAAATAGCTTTTGATATAAGCATAATATACAAATCAAAAGCCTAAAAGATACTACAAAATATATTTGATACTAATTTGATCATACTATAAGTTGCCTTAAAAAATTAAATAAAACACAATTCATAAAGTTATTCAATTTTCAAACTAAATTTCTTCATCTATTTACACAGACATTATTATATTTTGAAATAGGTATTATTGTTATAGGTATTCCTATAACAAAAATAAAGTAATAATTATTTAGATTAAATATTTATTTTTTGTGTATGGGTTTTAGATTCTGAGCGGAGCGAGGAATGTATTGGTTTTACAATGATGTTTATTTATTTTTATTTTTTATTCTGTAAACACGTCTTTTTCCCTCTAAACTTGCTCAAAAGTATCAAGTGTAGCATTTTTTCTGAAAGGTAATGTTCTTGAGCTGGTACTTTAAACAGGTCATTTTTCGATTTTCGAAACGGTATTCGAAATAAAAGCGGTTAAAGGAGAAAAACGTTTGATTTCACGGTTTTATAATATTAAATAATTACTGACGACGTTTTTTTTTTTTTTAAATTATAACAATATAATTAATATAGTATAACATATCCTCGACTGATAAATTGTCTCCACTCAGAGTCGTTTTTCGTATAAAATGATATTACATCAATGAATTCAAATTTAATACCATCCGTTACAGTAGTAACCCACTTATAACCTACTGTATTGCAGAGCGACATCCACTTACCCGCTTTTTTTTTTATTCGTTTCTATTAAGTGTAGATTTACAAAACAAACAACGTTAAATTTATTTATCGTTTTACAAATATTGAACCTTATTAATTCAAATAAACTATTATAGGTACCTACCTAATAACTATTAAGTACCTACTAGGCTACTATTAAGGTTGTAAAATATACATACTTTTAAATTAGTAATTGTACAATATGATGAGATTCATATTTTTTTTTTTAAATACCATGCGTTTGATTATTTATATTATTTTTATCAAAATAATGCTGAAAACTTTTTTTTTTAACCAATTTACGCTTTTAGTTATTTAAAATTAATTCCTACACAATAACACAAATAAATAAAAACATATAATAAAATACCTACTTTTAATCTATGTCTATTATATGCGAGTTAGATATCATTACTACTTTGACATTACAAGCTATTTTAAATGCTATATTGTTTGCAATTAAACAATCGTTATATTTTCTAAACCAAATGTATTGCATTGCATTCATTGCAATGTTTTTTTTTTTTTTTTTATTGAATTAAACTAATATAAGTAATAACTTATAACATTTATGGGTTCCCATTACATAATATAGACATATAATTAATAATGAACATTAAATATTATTATCATAATCGTATTTACGATTGATCATTTCAGGGCAATAAAATGTATTTTGTCGTTATAATGTACATATTGTATAATATTGGTCTCCTATATCTGTAAAAATCTAGGTCTCCTGTGTCTATACAGTATACGTACACACTTGTTTACTTATTATTCGGAATGGGGTCAAACGTTTTAATTTTAACCGCGGAGCTTTGAATACATCTATAAATAATAATTACAATTTTATCATAAAAAAACATTCATAAATATCGAAGGATTCATAAACAATAATATTATGTTGGTAATGGTAAATAACATGTATGTTTTGTTGTTTACCTAAGTCGTAAGTCGTTTACAAAATACGAGTTAAGTTAAAAACCGCATTATACCAATATGCAAGCCTTAAATAGTAGGACGGCGGCGGAAAACTTATTTTCAGCGCATAATAAAATTTCAACAACAACCGTGAATTGCGAAAAAAAAATCGAAATACATAACCTAACTTACTACATAAACGAACACACACACAACGCACAGTAATAATCATTATACTAGATTTTACATGCACTGATTTGACATTAGTCCTATGTCCAATGGTTCTTATGTAACTCGTTCCGTAATAGTAAACACACGCGAGTTTCGTCCATTTTTTTTATCGTTCATACTACCTAATATGTAATAAGCGTTATTATTTTTATTATTATTCGTTACACGTGCCTATGCCCGTATGTGACAAGCTTCTTTTTAGACAAACTCTCGCCACCGCCGCGCAATGTGGCCAATAAATTATATACAATAAAAAATATATATATTTATACAGAGTGCCCCGTGAGTATTTTACCCATTGCGATATCTCCCGAAATAATGGAGATATCAAAATTCTGGTTTTGTAATAATACTTAAAGAAATAAGAACTACAATTTTATTATTTCATATTTTAATTTATTTTATTATTTTGGTAAAAAAGTTAAAAAATATATGTTTTTATTTAATTATTTCCAACTAAATTCACTATACCTATTTTGTAGAGTTTATATTTCTGAAAACATTGACGTTTCAAAATTTTATTTTTGTTAATTTCCTGATTTTTATTTTTTTTTTGGTTTCGACAAAAATTGTGAATTATTACACTTCGTAGTATTATCAAACATGACGTGAAACGCGGCGCCGCACTCGTGCTCATACGGCCCGCCGAACGATTTCAGGTGCCTAGTTATTATTATATTTTATTTCTTCAAAACTAGAAAAAATATTAAAAATCAGGAAATTAATAAAAATAAAAATTTTAAACGTCAATATTTTCAGAAAAATAAACCCTACAAAATGTCTATATTGAATTTAGTTGGAAATAATTAAATAAAAAAATATATTTTTACATTTTTTACCAAAACATTAAAATAAATTAAAAATTGAAATGATTGTAGTTCTTATTCTTTTTGAGTCTTATAACAAAACCAGAATTTTGATGTCTCCATTATTTCGTGAGATATCGCAATAGGTAAATCCTCGTAGGGCACTCTGTATATATATCATATAATATTATTTAGTCGAATCATATATTTATGTAAATATATAATGCCTATTTATTGTTATTATTGTTAAGAGAACACCGTTCGACAGAACCGATTTTGTGATGTTGTAGGCTTTTTATACGTATTTGATCGAACTAACCTATAGGCACTTATATAGCAATTATAAAATTTAAAACTATAACAACGTTATTATCAGCAGTGTACGATTTTAACGTATTTTAATTTGTAAACAGGTTAAGAATAATTAGAGCATTTACAATTTACATAATACCTATTGACAATAGCTTATTGTGCTCAAAGTATTATGGAATATTATTCTCGCATTATACAATATACAATAGCAGAGGTGATGTACACCGAAATACTAATGATGGACTTGATCTGTTGCTCAAGGGTACTAGGGGTTAACTAATCGATTTTAAGTCCCTCTGGCGTGGGTTTTCCGCAACCATTTGATATTACGATCTACATGATAATTATTATATAAAGATGTATTAGATTTTATATTATACATTTAAACCCACACTGGGAATGCGTTTAATTTTTTTTAACCAATACTTATTATAATCTMGCAGAAATAAAATTTCGCGAGTCTTACGCAACAAGTATTATATGTATATTTTATTCAGAGGTTATTTTCGATCATTCGCAGTGCAAAAAAAAAAAAAAATGTTTTGAGTATATAGGCAGCTGCTGGTGTTATGTTTGTATATTATGCATGTTGCAGGTGTATAACCAGTCACTATAATTTAATATTATAGATATTATTACATCGACCGCCAAATATTATTTAACGAGCTGGTTTCGTTATCGGTGATAATTATAACATATACATGTTTTAGGGTCGAATGACCCATGCCCGTTGAATCACCTTTGTGTGTAAATGGGTTAAAAAAAACGTAAAAAACAACATTCTCGAGGGCATTCTTTATCGTATTTACGCACTTGCATTACGCATTTTATTTTTGTGTATATTCGGATAATCGATTAATGAATTGACAGGTACTCTTTATTGATGAATTAATTTAAAACCTGCAATAAGTGGGAGTTTTTATTAAGTTCAGAAAACACGCACTCTAATTATCGACTATGACGGTAACTATCGATATAATCTCTGGAATAATATCGATCATATTACAAAAAGAGTATTTTGTTATTTATAAATTTAATTTTAATATAGTTTGAATATATATGTCGCATCCACTTAGTGTAATCGTATTTTTCATGAAATGGATATCAATTTCATGAACTACGATCATATCGTGTAAGTCAAATTTTAGTTCATGAAATGGACATATATTTTATCCATTTCATGAAATGAAAACTTTTATTTTACACTTTGTGTAATGTTTCAAATTAATTACATCAATAATAGCCAATTTTTCGTGAAATTGAAATCTTTAAATAC